TTTCTGAATTTTGAGAATGAACAGTTACAGGGGCATATGCAAAAAAACTTCAATCAACAAAAGATGGAATTCCAAAGTGACTTTTAACTACAGCTTTATTGAGAGCAGAATTGACAGTTTTGCATGCAAAGATCTAATGCTGATTAAAAACTAATCTGGATGTTTTTGGAATTATCTGTCTAAATTTGAACTAATTCTCATGCAAAAAGAAAAAAAGGAAAAATATTTTTCAAAGTAATCATATTTGACATTTAGAACCAGCCATGCAATCTTAATTTTATCTTTTTTTCTTTTTTCTTTTTTTTTTCCTAATAGGTAAAATGAAAGGACTTGCATTTGTTCAGGATCCTGATGGCTACTGGATTGAAATTTTGAATCCTAACCATATGGTGACTCTCACTTAATTATAGTGAAGTATATTGTATATAAGAGAGGCCTACTTTCAGAGTCCTGGAGAAATCTGTAACAGTGTTTGTGAAATTTGCTTAATAGAGAGGAATCAGTCATGTTCAGAGTCTCCTTCAAAACTATCCCCTGGAACCTCACTTGGATTCCTTTTACCTTGTCCTGTGATGCTACTGCAAATTGCTTCCAGTTAGGAATACTCAATCATTTTCTGGAAGAGCACTTAGATTCTCCTCTTGAACATTCATGATGTTAATATTTCAATAAACACTGTCAAAAACATGTGACCAGAAATTCACTGCATCTCACACTGATTAGATTCAAACTAACAACAACAAATCCGTGTTATGACCGATAAGCATCAAGGAGGAGCCAAAAAGAAGCTTCAGTATATTTTTTATGAAGTCAGAATACCCTGAAGACTTCATGTCCTGTCATGTATACTACAAAATAAAATGTCAGGCTAATTTTGGTGGGAGCAGTAGCATGCTTATAAAAGTCATAATTTTACTTACATTATTCCAGGCAAAACTCTTTTAAGGAGCAGCCTTAAACACTCTTGCAAAAAGAAATTTTATAGAGGCAATAAATCTGTACGGCAGAAAGAATTCAGTCTTTCAGCTCAGAAGACTGCTGATTGACAGAAGAGGTCTCATAGTTGCTAACCCATAGTGATCCTTGTCTCTTTCAACATTATGAAGAACTTGTAATTTTTGTTTCAGTAGAAGCCTGGGGCTATATTTGACTTAAATGCTCTGTATATTCTGCCTTAGAAAATTAATGAAAAAGATTATCTGAAACAACACTTCCCTACTACTAGGGCATTTGATCTGCCCTCCCAAAACAAGTGATGGTACATACTTGTGAGCAGCAGGAAAACATGTAGCAATTTCATGTGTTACACAAATTATTTGATTTTATGCAGTTTGAAATGTTATAAACAGTGTAAATTATGAGAAGTTTGAAATTCTTCCCTCTGCCTTGTCTTACTCTGATTTGAGTAGCACCTAACTTCTTCAGTTATGTGGCTATCAAATAATGTGTAGTGTAACCAAAGGCTAACAAATAGCGTAATTGCAGTTCACTTCTCAATAAAGCATTGGTGAAAACTACCAAAAAGCACGATGACCTGTTGCTTTGCTTATTGTTGAATTCTAGATGACTGAAAGGGTCCGTGTTTTGCTTTGAGAATTCTGTTTTGAATCATTGTATACAGCAGTGGAATTTTCAGTGGTCCTTTCCTGTACCCTTCACACACCTCACTGGTCCACATCTGTCTCTTGGACAGTCTTGGGAACACAATTGCCTGGAGCTTGCCAGTGCCAAAGGGAGCTGTCACCTAAAAACTGTGTGAGGCACTCCTCCCAGCTCCTCCCTGTGTGCCAGACCCAGGGAGTGGAAAGATCCCAGATGAGCGGAAAAGCAGTGCTATGAAAAGCCAGGGTCCACAAAGGAGACAAGAGTCCTGCAACTTTATTTGAATAAAGGGAGGGAGCCCACTGGGGCACATGCCTGCAGGGTTTTCTCTCGAGGTTCCGGGGATGCAGCCTTGTTTTATAAACTCTCGGCCACATGTTGCCCTCTTCCTTTCCCCATTAGCTGAGGTATTATGAAGGTACAGCCTTTCTGAACCGCCTACCATATCTTCCCCCTTAAAGCTGCTCTTTTCCTCCAAAGTTCAGAAACTCAGACTTGTGTATACCCATTTTTCTGTTTCAAGAGTGAAACTGTCTGGGCTCTGTAACAAACCTTCGTCTTGAAGTTGGTAGAGACATTAAGAACTGTTTCAAAGACATTAACACCCATACTCTCACCCCATGGAATTGTTTGGAAAGACATTAGCACACATCATGTAGTTCAGTGGATAACTACATAAGTAGGAGCAGGCTATGCTAAAACTTCTCTCCTTACTAATCAAAATTTACTCTAAGCATGTTGGCTAATGTTGTAGTGACCTTTGGTTTTTTATTTGCTTGACAAAGTGTAGACATGATAGAGTGTAAGGTAACGAAGAAGAAACTAGTAAAAAAACCATTGGCATCTACCATCTAGTTACAGCAGCGTCACGAAGGGAGCAAGGTGTGGGTTTGGGTTTTTTTTTGAAAGTTGCTTCTGCTTGTCATACTGAGAATTTAAACCAGTATTTGCAGATAGGAAATCCAAGAATAGTCTACTAAAGCAAAACATTTAATGTTTTAACATTTAAAGTCTTTTAATCTGCAACAATGTAAACTATTTTAGATGTAGAAAAACTTCTGAAATAATTTCGTGTTCTCACTGATTTCAGGCCACTATTTTTGCTTCTTCCAAGGAAGGCTTCTTTTCTGCTAAATAAAGCATGGAATTAAAGAGCGTGTAGTGCTTTGCCTCTCGGAGGGCTTAAATTTAGCTTCATGCAGTGCAGCAGAAGTCATTCTCACGGTTTCGTAGCGCCAGGCCCACATTCCCCATTCCCGCTGGGAGAGGCTCTCCTGACGCAGGAAAGCAGGACACGCACCGAAGGGCAGGAGCTAAGCATGCCGCTGCCATAGAGATAAGGATTTTGAATGCAGCCAAGGAGCAGCGGACAGGGGCGGCAGGGAAGGTTAAACACCACCAGTCGCTGTTTCACACTCCCCGTGGTCGGCACCGCCGCTGTGTCCCGGCCGCCGGCGCTCCATGGGCGGAGCAGGAAGCGGAGCGGTGAGAGCGCTCCCGCGGCGCGGCGGGACCCGCTCTGCGTCACACGCAAGCCGCGGCTGCCCGTGACGTCAGCGCGCCGCCGGGTGACGTATGGACGGCGGCGGGGCGGGGGGAGGAGGCCTCGGCGGCGGCGGGGCCGGTGAGTCCCGCGGGCGGGAGGGGGGCGGCGGTCGCGGCCCCGGCGCCGAGCGGGGTCCCGAGGCTGCGCGGGGTTCCCCGGTGCTGCCATCGGCGCCTCCCGCCGGGAGCGGGCAGGGCGACCCGAGGTGGGCTGGGGGAGCGCCGCCGTCCGGGGAAGGCGCCGGGCGCGTTTGGCGGGGAAGCGATTTCAGCTGCAGTGCCTTATTGTGGAGGCGAGGGAGGGGGCGGCCGGGCGGGCTGGGGTCGCCTCCCGAGCCGGGAGTCGGTGGCGGCCCGGGCTATCCCGGGCGCGACCTTGGGCGCATCGCCGTCTCCGGCCGCCGTCTCTGGTCCGCGCCCGCCAGAGCTGCCTCTCCCTCGTCCTGCCCCTGGCTGCCTTCTTAAGGCCCTGCTGTGGCCATCGAATTCTAATTCATCTGATTTTGTGTCTTAAAAAAATATAAGTTCAGTATTTTGATGCTCTCGCGGTACTCAATGTTTTCCCTGGTGCTTTGCTGTCGTAGTAGTTTAACCACTCTGCAAGTTACGCACTACTGTGATTCATTGAAATTACTCTTAACTTAGAAGACAATATCAGACTTAAAAAAACCCCCAACTTGATGTTAACTTGTTAGCAATCTGTCCGTGATCTCGCTTGCCGAGCAATGCTCTTTGCTCGTGTTTTGTAAGTGTAGCACACAGACCTTCCTAAACTCCTGTGCTGGAATCATTTAAGTTTTTATGTGTTTTAGGATTTAATTTGATCCTGCTCACAAAGCAGGTGTATTTAATGCGTCTTCTGTTACAAATCTGTAAATCAGGTGCTTGAAGTGTTCTGTTGAGATGCTTACTCAAATTTAACAAAGAAGACCCCAAGAATTTTCATTAATGACTTTTGAATATATTTTGATGACACAGGCCAGCTTGATAACGTGCATTACTTATAGGAAAGATACTTGCATATTACATTTTGATCTTCAAAAAGCAGGATACTTTCTTTGTCAAAAGCCTGGATTTGATTTGCAGGATTAAGGTGTGGTTACTTTCTAGTTCATGAGATTCCTAAAAATATGGTTTTTCTACATTCTCGCCCTTTATTCTCTTAACATATCCCATAAGGAAAATTAGAGTGGCCCTTATGAGAGAATTCATAGGTCAAGATATCATCTGTTTAGCAAATTAAATATAGTTTATTTTTCCTCCTGACAGTTTTGATGGGAAGGTTAGCAATAATTTGTGCTTGTTGAGAGAAACTCATTATGTTGGTTATGTATTTAAGCAAGTCAAGTCTCTATATTTCTCTATTTCCTGATCCTACAGTTTTGTTTTGGTTTCCTGTTTAAAAAAAGGCTTGTGCAATAGAAGGGTCTGCAACTGCCAAGTTTTGTGAAAAAAAAACCCAAAAAAAACAAAAAAAACCCCACCAAAATCCAGACAGAATTCCCAAAACTTTAGCTAGGCAAGAACACTTGGAAAATTTTGTCTTGTGTAGGCAATAAAATATGTGTGATACAGTTTGTGTAGACCTAGCTTAATTAGGACACCCATATGGGAAAATGGTGTTTTCTGGGACATTAATGCTGTAGCAGAAATGTCATGATGGAATTTTGTGGCTTATCATGAATATGGCAACATGTTACTGTCTTCTGTGATGGTAAAAAATATGAATGGTCCAAGTTAAATTATGATGACTCAAAATATAAATACGGTTCCTGAAATACGGTTCTAATACTTGGTAAGTTTTCCCATTAAGTTGAAGGTTTTTTAAAGGATTTAAATTTTTTAAAGAATTTCTGCAAAAAGATGAATTGAAAAATACGCATCTCTCTCACTTTCTTCATAAGGCTCTGTGCTCATGGTTTCTGATGGTGTGTATTTAATGCATTGTTCCAGGAAATGGTCCAGTTGTTGCTGTGCAGCTGGATGTTGCTGAATAGCATTTCTATGAGCTTGCTGTTCAATCTGTCTGTTGTTCAGAATGGCCAAGAACCCTAATTTCCCAGAAGCAGGGAACCTGCCTACAGGCTACGCTCACTGTAGGTCTTCAGACAACTTCCCTGGTGAGTGGACCCCATGTGTTTTCTTGAGATTTTAATGTTTTCGTTGTGTGCCATTTGAACCAGCTTAATTTTATATATGTGTTAATAAATAATATGCACCAATTATATTGTTCTTTGTACTTAGCTAAACTTATTCCTTCTCTTCTGTGACAGGAAAGCATCTGAGTGGAATGTAAAATGTTAGCACCACAGCACTTAAGTGATGGGAATGTGTTTGCAGATGAGCAGGGCACAGCTTCCCATATGCTTTGAGTCAAAACATTTTTTGGTACTAAATTGCTGTTTAGAATGCTGTGATTGGGTAGTGTGGTTAGTTTCCCTTAGTGTTACCATCTGCTTTCCTTTTAGTCCCTTCACAACAGAAGGGTTGGAGATGAGACTTGAAAGTTCTGTGAATTGCACTTGAGCTTTCATATTCTGTATTTATTAAGTCCTAAGGGTTGGTTATATTGTTTCTAGTTTTGGCTACAAAGTATCAAAACTTGTTTGGTTTTTTTCTGTTACAATTTTCACTCAGGTTCAACTTTTTAATTGTTACTTAGAAGTAGAAAGGAGCTAGGGTTCTGACAGAACCGAGGTATTTACACTCTGAATGTAGAAGTATTTACTGAGAATTTGTTTCCTGAGATTATATATTTCTAAAAAGACATATGTGGATTCATTGAAAATATAAACCATATGATTTGAATCAGTGGTATGCTTGTACAGTAGTGTTACTGTTACACCTATCATGGGAGTAATAGAAATTGAAAATAAAGTAGTATTTCACTGGAATTAATTTACAATATATAAAGTAATCATTACATAAAATTGAAATACTATTAAAGTACCATCCAATCAACTGAGAACCAATTTTTAGATAAAAGAGTGGTGTAAAAGAATTACATTTAAGAAAATTCTCTTTGTGTAATTCTAATAAACGTATTAGCTTGCTAGGTACAAACTAGAAGATGTAGGAATTAATTGTTTCAAGGATATGAAATTATTTGCTCAGTGTTTATAATCTAGATTTATTTCATGAAAAGATTAGTTCCAGCAATAATCGGTTTACTTGCATTTGTTTCTAAAGTTTTGCTAGAACTATCAGTTATGTAAGCATTCTTCACGCATGTTATGTGAAATTTTTCTTCAAATAATTCATGATTAATTTCTTTTATTCAATTTTTTACACCAGTAGGAAAACAACACTTCCATGTTTCTTTGAAACAGCACTGCTTTTCACAGGATTCTTCAGGGTTAGCCTAAATGAGGGAGGGAAGAGACTGAATGCTGATCTTTCACTGCAACTGAGAGCTGTTTAGAAAGGATGTTGTTGTTGCATTTCCTAGGTCATGTTTTTATATCCCATAACATGTATGGGGCAGAATACTGAGTAGAAATACAGGAAACTGAAAGCTCGGAGGGAGTGGTTGTTTCTCCACAGCACATTATGTAGTATTGCATGCTGCCTTATGTCATAAATACTAAGCTGCATTTTTCATATGCTCATTGTTGAAGCTGGCCACCGAATAGTGTGTCTTCCGGTGGGGTCAGAGAAGTGGTTTGTAGGCCTTAGGACTTAACAAATGCCTTTTCAGATGGTTGCAGTTCTAATGGTGCCTCAAAATCACTGAGAAGACTGTTTTGTTTGTTTATTTCTGTGTCATGACCAAAGCTGCAGCAGCTGACTCCTGAAGCAGTTAATTAGCTCTGAATACCTCCTGGAAATACGTTGTGGTGCTGGCAATAGGCTTGTAAATGGCATGTTCTTTGACTGCCAGGAAGAAGAAGCACCTGTACTCTCTGAAAAAGTGATGTTGTTTGATGACAGAGGATGCCAGAGGGAGCTTCAGGAAGGGTTTTGCCCAAGTTCTTAACAGCATCCATCTTTTTTTTTAATTATAAAGACTACTGTCGAATAACAACTAGAAAAAGACATGTTTAGCTATACAGGGAAGTTGTGAGCTCATAGCAACTTGGCACAACTAAAGTGGTTATTAGGTTTTACTTCCTCAAACAAGAAATGTACAGATCGCTTAAAGGATTACCTGAATTTGCACCATTAATTCATCCAGCCTAGGAAGATACTAACTCATGTATTATTTGGTTCTATATTTTGAAGGCAGGACTGTCTCACTGGTCTGCTTTATATGAAAAATTCACAATACAGACAAAACTTTTGTTGGAAATCTGTACTAGTAGACAATAGATGAGTTGGCATGTTTCTTCAATATACTGGTGGTACCCACAGAGCACAGAAAAAGGCATGAACATGGTTCTGTAAAGGTGACAGTGCCCAACACTTCAGGTCATTTAAACACTTCAAAGGCTTCCTCAGCTTGCAGCCCTCATTTGAGTCCTTTATTTCCTATGCTCAACAGATTTGTGTTTGAAACTGATGGTTTAGAATAAATAGTACATGGAACAAGCAATTTGGAGAGCATTAAACATCAGAAGAAATGTGCCTTGTTGCTTGTACACAGGGTGGTATCTAAATTTCTACTTTCATTGCTTGCTGTTGTTCAGCATCTTGATGTTCTAAGGACTGGACATCCTCAGGTCACTAACAATTGTTCCCACTTCAGATTTTTCCCTCTTATATACACTAGGTACTTGTTTAGACAGAGGTTTGTGTGCTCTGGAGAGGGAAGTGTACTTTTGATTTTATTTGTTTATTTAACCTTAAATAGAAACACTTTCCTTTGAGCTTTTCACCCTATTGGCACATGACAACATCCACAGCTACTGAGAGCAAAGTGAATGTGCAGCTGGTGGCATATTCCTTTGTCTTCACTGCTTTTACAGTCTCTCAGTTTTATTCAGACCTGTTCTTATTTTTTAAAGATAAGAGTAGGTTCAGGACATGAAGAAGTAGAATTTAGGAAAAAAGTTGAAATAAAATTAGATTTTAAAATTAAAATGTGCAAATATTTGTACATGGATGAAGTATCATAAATCAGCTTCCCTAATCAATAAATGTTTAAACTAGCAGAAGAGAGAGAATACAGGTTCCTTGATGATGTGTAATTTGCATGTAGTTGGTTTGCTTGACTATCGCAAATGAAGATCAACAACAGCAATTATGGGTGTGGTATGGAAGTCTTCAAGGAGTACAGAGATTGCAGCTGAGTGACAAATACATTTTTTTGTATCCTCCCTTGTAATAAAGAGTTTTCTATTTTGAGGGCGTTTCAATTTTACTGTTGTCTATAAACTCTCAAACAATTACATTGTGGTAAGTGGTACTGCTGGTGCAAACAGATCTTGCTGGGCTGATGTAAGTTAGAAAGCTTGTTAGAAAGCAAATCTTATTGAAAGTGTATGTAGCATAAATCTAAATTGTCTTAAGTAATTGTAAATTAACTAGTACAAGTGGAAGAAATAGTATGTTATTATGAAAACCTGAAAATTAATTTGCTTTCATGTCAGGATAGAAGAACGACTGTACAGTGTTCTGTGTTCCCATGGTTAGGCTGCCTCCAGGATCTTGGCCAGTGTTGCTGGTTCTGTGCTGTAGTGGCTACACAGGCACACAGCTTCTAATTCAAGGAGCAGAGAGAGCCAGTGGAAACCTGGGGGATTTGTTCCCATTTGTGCTGTGATCTATTATTGATTTAATATGCNCATTTTGTTTTCCTTTCAACTTCTTTGAGACTTTCCACAGTATCTTGATTTTGGGCAAAGCATTTCCATGTGTTAAAGTGCAAACAATAATTCACCCCAGTTGCATCTGTTTGGGGGCTTTTCTACATATTTTCTCATAGTATTTTTACAGTAGAACCTAAAAATGTATTTCTGTCATAAATATTTGACTTGAAAGATTTATGTGTTAGGTATGTGCAAGGTATGGCCTTATAATTTTCTTGGTTCTTGTGGTACACCACCTTTCTTCAGCACTAGGTATCTGCCTATTTTGAAAAGTGGCTAGTAACTGGAGCAGGGAAGATGTCTCTGAAGATATGGATGATCATTATCTAAAACAACCAACCTCTTTTTAAAGAAAAGTAAACCAAAGTGTAACAGTAGAAGCCAATATAAGACCTAAATTTGCTTTTGGATGCTCTTGCCATTGAGACTACAGAAAGCCTCTGTTGCCAAAATAAACCGAAACCATAAAAAGCCTGTTATGAATGAAGAAGAAACAAAAGAATTCCGTGGCAGATATGACTAATGCATTTATCTATATTGTACATTAGTGGGCAATCTCCTCATTTTATGACTGAGAGGTATTAGGGGGTTTGTTTTCGTGTATATGTGTGTGTATATATGTGAGGGAACAAGAAGTCATCAAGAAAACTGAGTGTAAAGAATAAGAAAATTTAATTGTACATTGTAAAGCTTTTCTCTCTGACAAATTTTGTTATTTATTAAAAGTTATCCTGGTTGTTTATTTTCTCCCAATTCTGAAAAGTTGACTAGAAACCTTCAAAAACACTTTTTACCTTTCACTGATTCTAGTACAGACTGGAAAGTTAAGACTAAGCTTAGTTGGTTACCCTGCTTATTTCTATTTTATGTATATGCATTTTAATTCAGATAAAATTGCCTTCTAATGGTAACATGATGTAAAATAGTTTAATTTTTAATTCCCTTTGTTTGAAACTTTTAAGTGAATGGGTTGACTGAATAACAAGGTGACAATTCTCTGTAATACTTTGCTGGAATTGTTGGTGCCAGCTGTGTTGAGTCTGGTCGAAAATGAACTTGCATAGAAAACCTCTTGGTTTAATTTTTCTTGTAATATATGATTACTAAGACACTTTTTTGAGATATAATATTTTTACCTTATATAATTTGCTTATTTTCTTTGTCCTTTAGGCTACCAGTATCACCATCCCTCCAAGATGAGTAACAGCCACCCACTCCGTCCTTACACGGCTGTGGGGGAGATCGACCACGTTCACATTCTGTCAGAGCATATTGGTGCTCTAATGAACGGGGAGGAATACAGTGACGTTACCTTTATTGTGGAAAAGAAGCGTTTTCCAGCACACAGAGTGATCCTGGCTGCTAGATGCCATTATTTCAGGTGAAGTGCAGATTTTTGTCAGGAAATGTTTATGTAGATGAGATAAACATGAGATGAGTTTCTCTATGAACTTTTCAGGGTGTAATCATCTGTCTATTGAGTGTGACCTTTTCTGTGGGAATGTTTCCCAGCACATCAAATCATTGTGTTCAAATAGAAAAAGATAAATACCATGTCACAGTGTTATTCTTTTGACCTTCATTAAATTGGATTTTGAAAGTAGTTTCACAAATTCAAGAGAAAGATAACTTGAGAACAGGAGAGTACTACTGCAAGATTGTTTTAATTTTCAGAGTATAAATGATGTGTTTCTATGGAATATACTCAGACAGCAAGTTTCATTTTGATGAATTGGAATTGCGAAGAGAATATATATTTTAAAACTAGGAGTACTACTAATCCAACATTTTTCTTAAGAAATTGGGATTTTTCAATAGAAATACATTTAATATTCAGTGAATTTTGTCAGAGAAATAAACTACTAACTAAACTAAACTCTCTTCCTTATAGAGCATTACTGTATGGAGGAATGAGAGAATCTCAGCCTGAAGCAGAAATTCCTCTTCAGGACACCACTGCAGAAGCATTTACCATGCTGTTAAAATACATTTACACTGGTCGTGCTACACTACGAGATGAGAAAGAAGAGGTTCTTCTTGATTTCCTAAGCCTAGCACATAAATATGGATTCCCAGAACTGGAGGATTCCACGTCTGAGTATCTTTGCACAATACTTAATATTCAGAATGTCTGTATGACTTTTGATGTTGCCAGTCTTTATTCTCTTCCCAAATTAACTTTTATGTGCTGTATGTTCATGGATAGAAATGCCCAAGAGGTGCTCTCCAGTGAAGGCTTCCTGTCACTTTCTAAGGTATATCTTTTGTTTGCACTTTTTTCCCCCAGGACTTTTAATGGTTATACAATTTTGTGATGAAATACTAATGAGGGCACCAATTAAAAACTTGTGTTAGCTCATAGTTATTTTATACTTGTGAAACTGTGACGGTTGGAAATATTCAAGAATTCATATTTTATATTTCAGCTGAACTGAAAATCTGTTCTGAATTTTTTAGGTATTGACCAGTCAATATAGCTAAATATACTATATCTAATGGAGTGCTCTAAAAGATGGCAGCAGATAATTTAATTTTAATTTATCTTATTTCGTTTATTCCTGGTATAATATAATTTGGCTTCTGAATGCTGCAGAGGAGCAGTCAAGTATAGACTTGAATATGACAGAACATACTTTGTTCTATTAATTCCTTCATATAGTCTTCATCAGTGATGGGTGATTTTCTGCTGGGTAAACTAAAGCATTCTGGAGATTACTGTGATTTATATTGCTGATTTTCATCATGTTCTGAACTTGCAGTATATGGTTGTGTGTGGTCGTTGTGACACACACAGAAAGAGAGGGAGACAGACACACACTTGACTCCAAGTTGGATAAACAGGAAAAGAGAGCTTTATTTACATGACATGACTATTTATGGAAATCTAACAATAATTGTGGATTGGACAGTGATGAAGAGACATCTGACTCCAACTGGCTCATCACAATGTCAGTCAATTCTCTCTTCCTCCAAAGAGGAATGCAAACAATCCACTGTTTATCAGAAAGAGTATGAGAAAATATAAAAAGAATGTATCAACACTCAGAAGGCTAGAAACAGGTGCAACAGTGGTGTGGTAGGGTGGTTTGGGTTTCTTGTGTGTTTTTTGTTAGATTCATAAATACTTGTGACTGAGGCTGTTCTATGAAGTTGAAATTTTGCACTTACTCTAGAGCGGTCTTTGGGCTGGACATAATAGTGAGAGAGTGTTTTCAAGTAGTGTTCACATGAAGCAGCAGAGAACCTTGAATGAATTATGCTTTAATTGAGGGTTTTAAAAGTGTTTTTTCTTAGGGGAAAAGCTGTGAAGGGTCTATTCCTTGAATGAGTATATGACACTGCTGTAAGTTACTTGTTAAAGGAAAAAAGATTTTTTTTTTCTCTCTCTCTACTTTGTCATGTGCACTTTGTTAAATCTGAGCTCTGAGAGTGTATTATCTATAAAGAATTGAGCAAACATCATTCATCAGGAAGAGCACACTTTGGCATAGACAGTCCCAGTATATATGAGAGATCTTTCCTTTTTCTAGACAAGGTCCTGATTATTCTGCTAGCTAAATGAAAAACAGAAAGCTATTTGATTATTTTTGTTCTCTTTTTGCAACCAGTGGGTTTTTTACATGAATAAAAGCCACCGGAATTTTTACCTGGTGATTCTTAGTTGGTACTGAAAGACATACAGAAAAATTGTGACAAGACAGAAATCCCAAGTAGTTAGAAACGGTCAAAAACGTGATTCCAAGCAAAAAAGGGATTTTTCCTCATCATTGCTCTTATAGCAACTTAAGTTTAAAGGAATATTTTGAGCTATACTGCCAAGTCCTCAAATCTCTTGTAGTATTCCAAAGTAAATTCGAACTACTGAATGGTATTATATTGATTTGATTATTCTCTACGTTTCAATTTCTTCTAGTGATTTTTGTACTATTGCCTATTATTTTGGTCATGGATTCTGTAATTCTTGCATAACTAAAACAAGCTACAATTTCAGGGAGTCACCCCTTTAGAGTTTTTTTTAATAGCTGCAACTTAAAATAGCCGTTAATTTTTGCCTTATTTGAATTTCCCTTGATTAAAAAAATCAAATTCAATTTAATTTCAGTTTATATAGGGGGTATATTTTTTGTTCTTATTTCTCTTTTCTAGGCTGCTCTTCTAAGTATTGTACTGAGAGACTCATTTGCAGCTCCTGAAAAGGACATTTTCCAAGCTTTGATGAACTGGTGTAAACATAACCCCAAGGAAAACCATGCTGAAATCATGCAAGCTGTACGTTTGCCACTAATGAGTCTAACAGAACTACTGAATGTTGTAAGACCTTCTGGATTGTTGTCACCTGATGCCATCCTAGATGCCATTAAGATTCGTTCTGAGAGTCGGGACATGGACCTCAACTACAGGGGCATGTTAAGTAAGCATCAGGTTTTTTGTTTGCTTCCTTCTCATTTAGTGACTGCATTTGTCTGGAGGATATGGTTAATTTGTGGTTTGAGTCTTCATCTACTGCTGTGTGTTATAAAAGGTTTGCAGTGTGAAACATCTTGTTATGTAACTGCTCATGTCAGTTTTATTTCTCAATATTAGTCACTTATTTTCTTGCTTTGTATCTCAGATATTGCTCAAACATGAATGTAATATTTTCCTAGAGCAACTGCTAATTTAATAGAAAAAGTTTTACAAAATCACTGAAAATAAAAATGAATTGGCTGTGAGATATATTATATTTAAATGATTTTATGTTGATAGTGACTTGTTTCCTACTTCATAAACATTTGCAAAATTTCTCCACTACTTATGACTTTTCTCTTACTCTTTACATGCTTGTCTAAATAGTTCGAACAAGTCTCTGAAGTCATTTTAATGGAAGCCTAAACAGTGTAAGAAGCCTTGTGTTTGACTTTTTTTCTGTGCTCTCTGTTAATTCAACAAGAGTATCCAACACTCAAGCTTTAAAAAGATATTGTTAGCCATCTAATGTGTGAATTTGACCCAAAGAAAGGAAAAAAAGTAAATCTTTAGGAGTCTGCACTGTATTCTCAGTCATGCATTATGAGCCCTGAAAATTACTGCTGTCTTAGAATTGCATATTCTCTTTGTTCTCCCTTAGAAGTTATAGTCATGAATATTTAAACATATGAGTTTAATATTAGGATATTGTAAAAGTCTTGTCATGCGAGATGTTCTGTTGACACTGCAGTAGATTAATTTGAATAAGTCAAATGGTCTTTTCTGGCTTCTTTTCCTGGATATTTATCTCCACAATAAAATTCTCCTAATCACAGTTTTTTGGAGAGTGGAATTTCTTTGTTGTTTTAGTACTCATTTGGGATCTTGAAACTTTCTATTTGTGGGAATGTTGATGACCACTTACAACTTCAAATTCTGTTCTTTAGATGTCAAATTTTTAACACCCTGTGCAAGTTCATACTTTTGTTGTCTACCTGCCTGAAAAGTTTGGGGTAGCTTTTCATCATTTAGGTTTCAGATCATATCTTCTAGGATCTCTCCTCGAACAAGACTGTTAAAAATGTCTTTTGAAGAGGGCAGTTTGCAGAGTATTGTTCTATATATGGTTGAAGTTAGGGGCCATTTTTCCCAGTTAGCTTGAAGGAAGCTGTTCCTAGGACACAGGCTTATTACTTTAAAATGGTGGCATAAAAATTTTGCTTTTCCATGTGAGTTCAAAGCCCAAGTAGCCAGAATTTTCCCATTTCAATTGAGTTCATTTAGCTGTGCATGGTACTGGAAGCTTGTATAGTTGTCAAAGGAGCATATATGGCTTTACTGCAGTATACACTACTGCAAATTCAAGATACATCTTGTACATTTAAGTTTCTTCCATTTAGGGGAACAAAAACCCCATGCAACCCAAACCAAAATCAAACAACAGTTGACGGGTGCAACAGAATTGTAAAATCATGAAGGGGACTGAGAATATGGCTGCTACATAATAGTAAATTATCACAGCTTTATTACCATAAAGCATGTAGGAGATACCAAATAAAATTGAAGGAGCTAAATTTTTTAATGCCTCTTTTTTATCTTCTTTTCTTTTTCCTTTTTTTTTTTTTCCTAGAGCATGTGTTTGTGACCAAGAAAATATACTAGCAATAAATCTTTGGTCTGTCCTAATAGAGTTGATATTCAGAACATCTAATTTGCAGTATGAGAGTGTAAAATTTAAGCAATTATTTCCTTTTTTTCTTAGTACCAGGGGAGAATATAGCAACAATGAAGTATGGAGCACAAGTTGTAAAAGGGGAGCTGAAGTCTGCTCTGTTGGATGGAGATACTCAGAACTATGACCTGGATCATGGATTCTCTCGACATCCGATCAACGACGACTGCCGGTCTGGGATTGAGATTAAACTGGGCCAGCCCTCAATAATCAACCACATCCGAATTCTCCTGTGGGACAGAGACAGTCGGTAGGTGCCAATATATACCTTCATTTTGTACTGCAGATAATGTAGCAGTGCAAACTATAAATTAAATATTTTATGGAAACAGCATGATAATGTTGGAGATGACAGTTTCAAGGCTTATTTGAAAACAACCTGATTTTTAAATGTAATTTTCGTTACTTACACACCAGATCATATTTAGAGATGTTAAACTACCTTAAAGTACTTAAATATTTTTTACATATTTGCATTTCAAACATTAAAATATTTTTCTTGCAATTTTTTAAATATAACTGTTAAGAAATTACACTCTTTGACACTAAGATTGACTTGATCTTGGAGGTCTTTTCCAGCCTAAATGATTCTATGATTCTGTAATTCAGAAGTAATAAAATTTATTTAGAATTTGAATTACCAACTGGCTACAGTAGTTATTAGAAGCTGCTTCATGGTTAGACTGCTTAAATATGAATTGTCATAGATGCCATAGCTAGTTGTTACTGAGCTACTTTGGATTATTATGGAATGTATGAAAATTCAAATTAGGCTCATTTGAGCAATTGAGAGGCTGCTGAAGTAGAAAAATAACAAGGTTCTTTTTATCTGACATATTTAATATGTTAATTTTGCAACTTACCATGACAAGGATGTTACAGTTTAGTAGACAGCTCAGCAGATAATCATAAGCTGTTAAAAAAAATGAAACAAGCTACTTATACATTTATTATATATCTTATTACCTTTCTGGGAAAGGATTAATTTTGTTTTATTTCCAGACTAACAGTTTAGTGTTGCAGAACAGATGCATTTTGCTTTCTTCACTAAGCCATGTTATTCTAGAAAGTTTTAGTTAGGGTGGGGTTTTTTGTAAATATAAGTAAATTTTAAAATATGAGTTAGTTACTAATAATGCAAAACAAATTTTTAATTTTTGCTATTTAACTGTTTCAAGGAAGTTCTCCTACTTCAGTTCAACTGAAATTTGTTTCACTCCTATTTCTTTTGTAAAGATCAAAAAGTGGATCTTTGAAGATATAAGCAACTGCTTTATATAATACTATACTAATTGTGCCAGAAGATCAACCAAAATGATCAACCAACTTTATAAAATCTGACACAGTACTAGAGATATATTATAATGAGTTCTCTAGCAATTTTTAGAGAATTTGTATAACTGGTAAAATGCCCCTCATCTTCAGGGCATAACTTTGCAGCTGGTGACACTCAGGTCAAAAATGTTCACCTTGGGACAAGTTTTTACAAAGTTAGCTGTTGCTTGGTGTCCTGTGTGCTTCATCTGAAATTTGCAGAACAAATTATTATTGCTGGCAGAACATCTCACAAGGTGGATCTATAGAGATTTTTGTCTTTGTAAAATACTGAGGGCTCAAAGTTTAAGATCTAGTTTCTGTGTTCTGCTGATTTTTAATTTTTAAAAAATCATTCTGATTTCTGTGGAAAGTTTGCTATTGGGCTTTCTTTTGCTTTCCAACAGATATAGTAGTGGAATTAGCTCTGTCTGTCCTGTGCAACTGGACTTCGATCATCCTAGGTGTTCTCTTCTAATTCAGAATATTCTGAGATTCTCTGTGCTATGAATTGTCGAGCTTTTTTCCCTTCAGTAACTCAGCTGTCTAAAATAAATAGAAATGGAGGCATTTAAAGTACTTGGTCTATTTGTGGGCTCCTCAGTGTAAGATACTGGCTTTCTGGAGTGAATTTAGCAGAACACCAAGATGGCAAAGGCTTGAGCACACTGTTTTAAGATAAGCAGGCTTAGAAGGGAGAATTTGTTGCTCTTCTCACCTATTCAGTGGAAGAATATAAAAAATACAGGGACAGAATTCTTTTGCAGCTGTGTTCTGAGAGTGCAAAGAGCAGTGGACACAGGCAAGAAGATAAATTCATATTAAATATTAGGTAAACAATTTACAACAGGGTGGTTGAACTTGGAAAGAGTTTAACCAGAGAGGTGTGCAGAAATTTGCCAGCCAACATCTTAAGGAACTTGCTCTGAGATTGTCCTTACTTTTTGTAGAGATCTTTTCCTTTCTACAGTCTTTGTCTAACAATTGCTGGCCACTAAATTGCATCTTTCTCATGGGATATGTGAATAATGTCTTCTAAAGAGGTGTTTTAACACCTATACAAACATGTACAGATCTGTACAGCATGATTGCTTCTTGTTGAACAATTTTTTAAACTACTCTGTTCATTTTAACTGTCTGTGTGAAGCTCTGGTCTATTGGATATTCTTAACAGAACCAAATGGAAACTAATAGTTCAGATGTGTTAACAGCTTGAATTTTAGCTGTAAAAGTGCTAAGCCATCCAAACTACCTCTTCAAATAGGATGCTATCCAGCCTTAAAAAAAAATTGAAGGCATGCTATTGTATATGATAATGGAACTGCATTTTTGAGGTAATATTTTTTTGTTTGGTATCTTCAGAAACCAAAAAGTAGCATGTGATGTGTTGGTTACAAATATATGTTAGTTAACAATGATGATGGGAGAACCTCTAAATCCTCAAGGCACAGAGGACTGTCAGTAACTTGTATACAAACTGCTCAAACTCTAAAACTTTGGGGCCTAGTTTGATCAAGTACACATATTTTAGTAATAGTAATGTTGCTAAAATACATTATGTTTGTGTGGGTTGTGAATGTTACACATCTGATAGGTGTGAATAGGAAAGCTAGTTATGCAATTGACATTTAAAGACTTAGCCAAGTATTGGCTTTCCAATACTATTCCAAGGTATTAACAACTATCTTACATTTTAAGGATTTTTAAATAATATCGTTTTAAGTATGTACTCTTTTAAGTCCTCTGGAAAATTGGAAACATTAAGAATAGTATTAATGTTTAATAAGAAATACTTGTATAGAACTCTTTAAGAGCAACTCCTCTTTAAAAATCAGTGTGAAACGATGTTCAGTGCTGTTGAAATGCCTTTCAATGTTGCAGACTAGTGCCTTAGGACACAGAAAATACTCTGAAACATATATTCAATGACTTGCAGTTCCACAAGTGACATTTCTACTTTATTCTAAGCGTTACAGTCATGGATATAATAGGGAATTAGCTGTGACTTATAAGTTCTAGTTTGGGTTTGCTTTCTTTTAACAGCAAACTATAAGGTAAACGTAACTGATAAGCAAGGGGAAGACACAGAAACCAGTTAGTGGTTTTTTTATTTTCCATGAGGTGATTTTTGAGTGTGTAAGAAAGTAATGACAGGCTCAATGATATATTGTAAACAACTGAAAGGGTCAGAAGTGAAGAACAATATTGGTGAAAATGGTCATAAAGTAAATTTGCTTTTCCCAAGTGAGGAATTTGAATTTGCATTTTTGATCTAGTAGTTGTTTTTCATTTTTTCTTTGTTGATTTGGCAATAGAAATAGTACCGTATGACTGGTGGTTTAGTCTTATTCCACAAGGAAGGAATACAAATAATAATTTTTATGGCAGAGTCAAAAGTATCCATTTCATTTTTTGAGGTGTAGTAGTCTCATCTAATGACTGTGGATGTTTTAAATCATTCTGAAAATACATCTTAACTGTGAGAGTTTCTTTTGAAAGCTAGTTAGAAAATAGGGATCTGGGTAAGGAGCAAACAGTTTTCAACAAAACAGAAAATCCAGAAGATAGTGTAAAATTGAATACATAAAATTTATTGACTTATATTCTAACCTGTGTTTTTTTACTATCTGTAGGTCTTATTCGTACTACATTGAGGTGTCCATGGATGAGCTGGACTGGATCCGGGTTATCGATCACTCAAAATACCTCTGTCGGTCCTGGCAGAACCTGTATTTTCCTGCCCGTGTCTGCAGGTTAGTTCATCACTGGAATATACAGTGTCTAACATTAAAGAATGTAGGCACCAGAATAAGTTGCTGTGTTTTGTTACTTCATTATGTATTTCTGAAAATGTATCGTAGCTCAAATTTTATCAGCTGTGCTAAAAAATAGTTTATCTTAGTTGATATAGTTGATTTAGTTTTATAATATTCTGATATTAATGTAGTTTTCTGATATTAATGTAGTTGATACAATGCAGGTGTCTGGTTTGAAAACTCTGGTTTTTCCATATCTACATATTTCCTTCTTTTTTGTTGTTTTGTTTTGGTTTTGGTTTGTTTTTGTTGAGTCATACTTACCTGTTTTTTGTAGCGAATGCAGGGTTTTTTTCACTCAGTAGCAAACATCATTCCTCAACTGCCTAAATGTTTATAATGCACTTACATACTACAAAACTTGAAAATGTATTTTTATGTATTATATATTTTCTGCTGTTGCACTGTTTTAAATAGCTGTAAAAAGGAGGAAGGGGAAAGTTAGGACTAAGGAGCTTTGAGGAATGCCTCTCATGTCCAATTTTGGATGCCACAATATAAGAAGGATATTAAACTATTAGAGAGCATTGAAAGGAGGGCAATCCTGGAGAAGAGGAGAATGAGAGGAGATCTCATTGCAGTTACACCTTCCTTGTGAGGGGAAGAGGAGGGGCAGGCACTGATCTCTGCTCTCTGGTGACAGTGACAGGACCTGAGAGAATGGCCTGAAGGTGTGTCAGGGGAGGTTTAGGATGGATATCAGGAAAGGGTTCTTCACCCAGAGAGTGGTTGGCCAAGGAACTGCCTCTCCAGGGAAGTGGTCACAGCACCAAACCTGACAGAGTTCAAGAAGCGTTTGGACAATACCCTGAGGCACGCGGTGTGATTCTTGGGAATGGTGCTGTGCAGGGCCAGGACAGGGACTTTGAAAAACTGAATTGAGCTCATTGATAGGGAGGATACAACCTGTAAATACAAAATATGCTATCATCAGTAGGTTTTGGGTCATAGACCCTGAGAGGAAATGACCTGTATCGTAATAATTATTCTGTAGACATAAGCTTTTTGATTGACACAGCAGCTCTTGGAATCCCCATGGAGAGAAGTGCTTTCTTTTTCCCAAAGAAATCCTGTTCTTTTCTATAAATCACTGTTCCTCATTATCATATACACAAAATGGTAGGGAATTTCTTGGAGGTGCAGCTTATTTGAAGAGCAAGTGGAAGAGCTGAAGAGAAAGTAATGTAGCAGCATAAGTTTATGAGCACTTATTGTTAAGGAACAGTAACCTTAAGGCAAAATATGAGTTCTCAGCTCAGTTACCATAATAAATAAGGACAGTTTAGATAAGGTTGTTCTGTAATTTTTATTTACATCAGTGAATGGAAGCCTAAATTATATTATGAATGTAACATTTGACTGGCATTTGCTATTCAAAAATGGCTATAATTTACTGTTCTTTTATGTATTTTCCCCCGTCTATAGGAAGAAGAGACTATTTAAAATGTAATTGGAGATGTAAAATTGCTGACAAATTTTTGAGGAGTTCCACATTTAGAACTCTTTATTTAATTATATTAATATAAATAGTTAGGTATTACTTGAAGGTTCACTCTTGTTTGACCAGGAATTTTCATCAAATTTCCTCCAGGAGAGAGGCTTTGAGCAGAGGAGGCTATGTGCACATAGATATTAGTATTAAAGACATATTTATCTGTCTTTTAATCAATATTCTGTTCAGAAAGAAGTAAGCAAGGACTATTAAACTTGTGTTTTGTCTCCAATTTCAGTGTTTTGTGATAATGTACTTAAAGTAGTTGTTTACTTAAAAGAGTTAATTTAGTTATTTCTAGTATACTAACATGAGCAAAACAGAAATCCTAATATATGTAATGTTTTCTTGTCACCTAAAAAAGAGATGTTCTCCAGTCTTGTGAGCACAGATTTGAAGTATGAACTAACATGAGATTGTCAGAATGTATTCTTTTAGTATTTGATATTCTGTTTCACAGGCATGTTGAACGTGCTTATCAAGGGGCAGATACGTTTTTACACAATTTATATGCTCTGTTTTGCTCAATGCTGCTTCTCTTGTAGAGTCTTGTTTTAGTGTTGCAAGTCCCAGTGCCAAAATTTTCTTGCTAATGGACAACAGTATAGAGGTATGGAAGCATCATGTTATGTTCTGTCTTCTTGCCATTAGTTTTGGCATTTTACTCTTTGTCTTACTATTTGAATGCATTTTTAATAGGTAATCGTGGACTGAATGCCTTATCAGGAAGGGCTTCAGATAAGTGGTGGCTTGCCTTTTTTAAATTAAAAAAAAGATATTTTAGCTCAAAGTGCTTTATGGGGTCACTGTGTAAGATGCCATTTTTACATGCGACAAAGAATTGAAGAGTAGAATTATTGGCTGGGGATTTTTTATTTGTGTGCCTTTTTCCAAAGTGAAGGAGTAGAATATGCCAGATTCTGTACAGGTTGTTGAAGGACAGCCATTTGTCTGATGCACTAGAACAATTGTTCAAACACAGATTATAAACAGGATATGAGCCCTGCAATATTAGGCAAGCTTAGTTGCCTTTTTGAGTTACCTTTCACATAAATATTAGCTGTAAAAGGTGGGAGCTGTCAATGTCTGAACTGATATGTTCATCCAAGTTTTAAGAAGCTACTCAAACATTTCCATGGGCATAAAAATTGATGAAGTGTCTTTTATTTGCATGTATACTGGTTGGGTTTTTGTTTGTCTTTTTGAAAACCTGTAACTTTCCTCTTAAGCAAATCCATCCATGTTCAATTCTACAAACAATGCCTTTTTCATACAAGCTGGATTAAAAAAATGCAACCACTTCGCCTGTAGTTGCTAAGTAAAATAGATAATTTATACCACAGTGAATTAAGATCAACTCAGCCACCTAAATGAGTAATTTGTCATGTGTGTCATAGTCTCCATCATGATTGGATTCTTTTGATATATGGAGTGATTTGGAATATTCACAATAGTGTTGGAGTTGGGGCATTCCCACAAAAGATAATTTATACTTGGCAAAGCACATATCAAACCATCCAAACTGGATAGGGAAAGTCAAGTAACGTGATAAGATTATTTACACTCTTGGCTTCTTCCTTTTATTTATATGCTCCAGTCTGTCTCAATAGTTTCAGAGTAATTTTTGCCAGCCATAACCTCTGTTAGATTAATAGTTGAAAAAAATGGAAGGGCAGTAACCGAAGACTGAAATTCTAGAATGAAAAGAAGATAAGATTGTTTGTGCTTTCTCACACACATCAGATGATTTGTTATTTGTAGAATATAATGCCTGATTTAAATAAACAAGCTCATTACTTGTTCAGCTTAGTCAAAGCTTAGTATAACAAGAGAGTGTTGCTGTATTTAGAGGGGTTTTAGTAAAAGAAAATGTTGAGTATAATGTATGGGGGGGTTATTGACATAATTGTTTTAGACTTTTAATTTTTACTTTAAATGCTTTTAGACTACATTATTCTACCAGCTTTGAAAATTGAACAGTCATATACTAGGCAGAAAAAGCAAGTAACAGAGCATGATTACAGGGTAGTCTTTTTCCCCCCTTTATTTTTTCCAGTGTAGTAGTGTATTTCTTAGAACTTCTTTTGGTCCTGTTTTCTTTGTTTACACTTTTATAGCAACTTTCATGTAGAGCTGAAAACTCTTTAGAGGGGAAGACAGAAAATGTTCATGTAATCAGCTTCCTGTGGAAGTTAGGAACAAGTGTCAGGTTCACAGTTACTCCATCTTCCTCTTGTAGCAGTGAATGTTAAGACTGCTAAAGGTCTTTGAGCAGGTAGTGCTATTTTCAGTTTTATCCTTCTCACTTTTTTCATCCTTTCATTTTTGTTTTGTGACTTCATCTTTTTGCTTCATCCTTGACCACAATATTTGAAGAACTGCATTAAAAGAATTACAAGAAAATTAAAAAAATTGAGGTTTCATAATAAGACAAACGTAGCCACAAGGTGTCACCCCAATAATGGTTTAAAAGACTTTCTTTCTGTTTACACTCCTTTGATGAAAGTGTTATTCCTACATGTGCTTTTTTGTGTATTAAACTTCCCAGATTTTCACAATCATTCTGGTTTGCTCTTTATGCTATAGAGGGAGCAAGTACAGAGTTAGTACATAAAATCAGAAGGAAACCTTCAATTAATTTTTCATCTTTAGTCTGACACTGGATGATTCTGTGTTTTGATTGGGGAAGTATTTCCCTAACCAGAGCAATTTATAGTCTGAAATCAATGCTATTTTGTCAGTAATACCAACATTCAAAAATATATTGAAATGGTAAAGAGATCAGATTTTGTCTGTATTTGCTATTATTGTCTCAGCTCTTTTTTTTGGTGATTATAATAGTGTGATTTATCAAAAGGAAATATTAATTATTACTACATAAACATTTGGTCCTGAAGTATGTTTCTATTAAGAGAACTGATAGATGCCTATAGAATCATGCTGTAAATGTGGGAAATTATTTAAGCGTATTATTTTTCCTGTTTTTAAAATCTGCTTTAACCTGAAATATCTTGAGGTTTTCTAATACTCGTGTGTTGAATTAATAGTGAAATAAGGGCGCTGTGTTTCCCTTAAAGCACTTGGCTGCTATAGAAAATGTGGCATTAGAATTATTTTTACTTTAGAAGGTGTATTTGTATTTTAAATGTATTTATTGGTGCAGAGAAAATTACTTGCCTTTCCTTTTATTAAGCACTGATCATACTGGGTGGATTTTTTGTTTAGTTTTTCAACAGTTTTTGCTACTAATGATTACACCATTTGTAATCCTCCGCCTGAGTGAAGTCAAATTAAATTGTAGACCGTGTCTCCTGAACATTGAAAAAATGCAAGAAGAGTAAATTTTTCTGTATTGAGGCAGTTCTAAACTCAGAAGTGGTAGTAGTTGTGCGTAATTATTTTGCATGTAATGATATGCAAGGAGATGTGATTTTCAAGTGCAGGC